TTGTGTGACGATAACGGTGTTGTAAAAAGTCTGTAGTTGCAACTGGTAAGCCGTTGTTGAATAGAGTGTCACAGAATAGAGTTACTGCTTCAGAGTGGAGTTCTGACTCCAAAGTTTACAAAGTATAACTAGTCAGAGTGAAGATACAAAACCTTTTATGATTTGCGAGGAGGAACCAAAATTGTCTACTTCTGTTATTAAAGAGTTTGAAAATGATGAAGTTGACGGTAAAGTGAATATTCGTGATAATGATCATGATACTTCACTGTTGTCTTTGGTTGATCATGATGAGATGAGGGATATGCCTACTACTGCTAAGTTAACAAAAGTTCTGTACAACTTGAACGTGAAGTAGAATTGAATGCAGATGCAGTTGCAGAAGGCATGGATACTTGTCAAACCGTCAGTGTAATTGATCAGAGTGTAGCCCACCTATCATCAGATGCTACTGTTAAACCTGAGCTGATAGTAAAAGACAGCAGTGGTGGTGGTCTTGCAGGTAGACAAATTTCTGAAAGTCGAGCAACAACAGCTTTTGATCCACTGCTAAGTTCATCAACTGATATCAATCAGTCGTCGTTGGTGCTGTCATCCACAATGAAACAGACACCCATCAACTCAAGTATCTTGTGCAATGACTATGGTAGTATCAGTTCGTTTGAAAGGACGAATATCAATGGTCAGTTTAGTGAGGATAAGCCAAGTGTAAACGAGAGAGTAATTGTTAAATTGACTTGCACGAATAAAGGCATTTCTAGTTTCAAGTTACTATTTGAATGTTATTATCTTTGGTGTAAATTACTCTGTTTCTACACTTGGTTGATGAGATATGTCGTGTGTTTGTTCGTCATCTATATTCTACGATACAATGACATGGGCGTGTTGCCGTTCAGATTTGAGGATATAGCTGATAGAAGGAAGTTAGCAAATGAACTCTGCGACGATTTTCCAACCTAGAGCGTCAACCTGAGAAGGGTTGTAGGCGTACTGCTGTAAGTCCTACAATTCTTCAAAGGGTAGCGCATCAATGAGCAGTCCAATGTGCTCGGTGTGTGATTTTGTACATATGTTCATATTGTATATACTGAATTGATATCATCTGTCATCTAGCTGTTGGTAATTCTGTTTGTGTCCGGACGACTTCCACTTGGATCATCAACCTGAGAAGGAATGTAGGCGTACTGCTGTAAGTCCTACAGTTCTTCAAGGGTAGTTTGCCGTCCAGAATCCACAACATTTGATGTGTTGATTGTACATATGTTTGTGTTAAATAATTGTGTGAGTTCCAATTGATGTAATTGTTGGTTAATCTTGTTTGTGTCCGGACATTCCACAACTTACAATCGTCAACCTGTGAAGGGTTGTAGGCGTACTGGTGTAAGTCCTGCAATTCTTCAAAGGAATTCCACCAAGACATGATCCGCGAGGTTGTTTGTACTATTTGTATATACGTGTGGTGTGTCATATCAATTGGTGTTTTTGGATTCATTGTGTTTACTCGTTGTTTTCGTACCTTGTTGTTATTGCGTAATTTTGTTAAAATTTTCGTCGTGATTACTTCTGAAGTTGTTTCGAGTCTTCTACATCCATGAATGAATTGATTGATGTTAAGGACAGCAGATGGGTCGTATACGCCTGGGAGGCTAGGCTATTGCTGAGAATGAAATGCACACGGAGATAATTGTTAGCTGCGGTCCGACACGCCGGGGAGAAAGAGTGTAAACGACTGAGGCTCGCATGCGTCACCGCTACTAGAACTGAGGCAGAATGAGTGACAAGCGATTTCAGTGGTAATTGGTAGTGAGTAGATAAGAGGATGTGCGTAGAGTATCGTGAGTTGTGCTATGGTCACGTTGCATTCTGCAAGAGTCATTCTAGCAAGTGGCGATTGTGTTGCAAGATGTCAAGAGGAGGTCTCTGTCTGGAGGCGCAGGTCGTCAGCGATGTGTGAGATTGTGCTGTGGGTATGCTTGTGGTGTGTTGGCTTTTCTGTTTGTTTTCCATTTCAGCTCTGTCCGTGTGACCCAGGTTCTCGCAATGGCATCCAAGTCAACGTGCATTGGTCGTGAAGGAAAAAAGGGTTGGATCCCTTTGTTGCCGGGGAGTGTCAATGGAGTTGAAGATTGAACGATCAATTCTTGGTTGTTTGCTCAAACCCAACTTCCCCAATTTTCGCGGAGGCATCAATACGACAGTCATCGTCTCATCGGTCGCTGTTCAGAAAGAAGTCAGGAGAAAACCGTCAGAAGTAATATTGTGATTTATTATTGTAATATTTGTTTTCAGACCTTAGTTCGCTTATTCTTTTTATATGTTGGTGTAACAATAAAGAAATATCAAACGGCAGATCGGTGTTTTGGTTTTTTCGTCCGTTATAACTAAGCGTTTCTGAAATCTTCAAGGAACAGCGTGGGCCCGAGCGTAGCGAGAGCTGGGCATTGACGGTTTATGAGACGTGGCTGACAGCTACCGAATTTCCCACTTGTATGTCGCAAAGAAGATGATGAGTAATGCCATGAATCGTTCGATCTCAGGAAGAATAAGTTGGAAACCTTCTGAACATGGAACCAGTGCTTTGGCGTTTGTGCCTATTTGCTGAAAATTCAGGGGTTTAAAGTGAGCGTGAAAGTTTAAATAAGATCCTTCAGAAGAGCGGCAAAACAAAAGGGTGGTATGTAACAGTAAAACTGTCATATGCAGCTGTTGTATCAAGTAAGATAGGCTCCATATTTGAAGTCCGTGTTACTTTTCCTCGTGATTTACTTATTTTGTTATTTTTTTCCGTATTATAAGTCCTTAGGTCGTATTTTTAGCATTAGTCTACCATTATAAATAACAATATTTCCATCATTTGGATATTATCCCTACTCTTTCTCCTGTTTCAATTTACTGTTTCAGGTACTGCCACACTGAGTTTCTGACCTTAGGTATCCACATCACGACTGTTTAGTTGACATAGGATCATTTAACATAACCTTCACACAACATCAGTCTTGCAGCTCTTCAGAAACTTTACGCAGAATGCCACCCAAGCAATCCAGGTGTCGTACTTCATTATCGAAAGACAACTTCTGCAAAAGATTTATATCTGCTTGGACTAAACAGCATGGAAACACACCTTCTGACACAGAAATTAAATGTGTGCAGCTCAGATATTATTTCCTCTTCACCGTTTTGTGATTTTATCACAAATATTTACAATAGCACCGGTTTTTGAAACGGGTATTGTGGATATCTAACAAGCGACACTAGATCTCAATAAAATAGTATACCCTGGCTAGTTTGATGTCGTATCCACACTACTAGAATACCCCGCTCAGCCAGGCGGAAGGCCCGAACTTACATATAGCCTCAATGTCATCTGTCCCTACCGATACCAATTCTTTGAGCTGAGCCAAAAGAGATGATAACTCTCCTGAAAGCTCCGTAAACAGACTTTGATTTGGATAATCCTGGCACTACACAGAATGATTTACTATCATATAGTTCTATTCAAATCCAGGCTCTTAGGTAGGATATATATAAGCTGGTACAAAAGGTAGACAATAGCACCACATCTAATATTATAGACGAATTTCCCCATTGCGAAGTTTAACATCGGTCATCAACCACATCCTGACGTCAAACTAATGCCAAATTGGAAATAGCAAATAGCTCATCATCTGCGCAGCACACATGTACCCAAGCCAATAAGCAAGAAAAAAAACACCATCCCATCGTCCATAATCTCTTATATCTTAGCTATCTGAGTAAGACTTGAGATTACCCTGACTACGACACTGCAGTTGCCAATGTAGTTGAATGATGAAAGATCAGTTAATGCAAGTTTCTCATCAATACGGCAGTCATCGACACATCGTTTGCTGTTCGGTGGAAGAGAGAAAACTATTAGAAAATCTGTGTATAACAAACTTATTGCTGGTTACATATTGGTGTAAGAATAAAGGATTCTCGAGTGGCCGATTGGCGTTCTGCTTTTTCCCGTTGGTTATTGCACATTGTTTCTGAAAGTCGTCCAGGGACAGTGTGAGGTCCAGCGTAGTAAGAGCTGAAAAATGACAGTAAAAGACAGTTGAATCAGAGATTCTGATAGTTCCTGATCGTCTCCTCTGGTGTGTGACAAGTTTTCTCGACAGAGAGGCGGGTTTTCCTCCCAAACAATAGCAGGGCCGGGCATAATTCAGTGACTTCGTCATGAAGAAGCGGTCACCGATAGTGTCGACGGACAGTGTGTTCAGTTTTTTGTCAACCAACATGGCCAAGTTGGTGGTGCACGAGATGAATCGCATAGGGAAATTTCAGACGTGGGACGAGAAGGCGAGGCGACTTAGATGGTTCCATTATATACAACACATCATAAATCAGTCGTAACACACCCCACTTACCACAGATGCACCGTGTTATATCGGACAAACTCCGTAGTTCTCTATTTGACGATTTATCGTTTCCATGAGGCTGTCGCGAGTAGACAGGTTGGATACCTGCGTCAACCACCTGCAATGCGGCCCAATCAATGTCTGTACCTGTATTAAGTGTTGCATTTGCTGCTGCGACACAATTTGGCAATCTAGAGAGGGTATCGACGTTAGCATGTCAGGGACCTAGGCGATACTTGCAGGTGAATTCTAATTATTGTAAACTTTCCTGCCAATGAGCTATCTGCCCTTCTGGTTCATTAAATGTCAAGCGCCATTGTAGTGTATGGTGGTCAGTGAGTACTCGAGAGAAGCGCCGAGGGAGACAATGTCTGAAGTACTTGAAGAAATGCACGGGGACTAACATCTTCCTTCGTGTCACCGAATACCATGTTTTACGTTTGTCTTGCTTTCGACTGGTATATGCAATAACGCTGTCAATGTAGTTGAAGATTGAGCGACCAATTCATGGCTGTTTGCTCAAACCCACTTTCCCCATATTTTTCGCGGAGTCACCAGTTCAGCAGTCATTGTCTCATCGGTCGCTGTTCAGAAGGAAGAATAAAAAACTATCAGAAAACTTACTCTGTCATGACAGTATTGTTGGTTATATGCTGGCGTTGGAATAAAGAATTCTTGAGTCGCCAATCTGTGTTCTGGTTTTACGCGTCGATTAGTACTAAACGTTTCTGAAAATATTCTAGGGGCAGCGTGAGGTCCAACGTAGTAAGAGCTGGACACTGACGGTTTACGAGACTTGACTGACAGTTTCTGATAGTATTTGGTTAGTTTCCGTTGGTCTTTTCTTGTGCCGGCCAACCCTTCTTTGAACAAGTGTTATCTGGAATTTTTCTGAAATTTTGGTCAAATTCAATGATGCTTGGGTCAAATAAGTTACAGATCATCTTGGAAGCAAACAGGAAATTAAGTCATGTCGACTTATTGTTTTGGAAAGGAGATCAGTTGGTGGATTATAAATGATGTCCAACTAACCTTTATCTTTTCATGTGATGTCTCGATTTCAATCCTTTGTAAACGTTGTTCTTACCTCAATATTGGTTGGTTATCGTATGCCTACAACCACGGGATGAAAACGAAACGAAGTCAGTTTTCCCGCTCAACCTGGAGGACAACTGTACAATTCAATAACTATACGGCTTGGTTCAGACAATGAGTGTATTTATATAAATATATATATATATCAAATATTTAACTGTTGAAACATTATTTACGTGTAGACAATTTAAGATTTGACATTATACCATACTTGATCGTGCCTGTAAAAAAGGCATGCATTTTCATGTAAATTTATGTTTATTTGAAAATATAAATTATTATTATATTTTACATGTGACGATGTGTTTGAAGTTAAACATGATATGTTTGATGTTAATGTTTCGCCGTCTAGGGATAATAGGAATTTTAAGCTTCCTAAATACGAGCCTCAGCGTTTTAACGGAAACCCAGCTGACTATTCACAGTTTGTAAAGGAGTTTGAAATCATGTTGAGTGGTTTTTTATTAAATGATGTAATGAAGTTGATGTATTTGATGAGGTACTGCACTGGATTTGCTTCAAGAGGTATACAGTGCTGTAAGATCATGCACTCTAACGAAGGATACCCTGAGGATATGAGTGTACTGCGCCAAAGATTCGGAAGACCTTCGATGATTGTAAGGAACGTATTCGAGGCTGTTAAATGTAACGGTATTCAATTACAAGATGACTCCAAGGCACTCTGTGAGTTTTCGGATAATCTGATGACCTACAAGAATACGTTGATTTCAATGAATTGCATGAGCGATCTCAATTCGATTTCCATGATAGTTTGTTGACATTCTTACTCTCAGCAGGCTTATTGAATACAAAAGAATTCTTCCCCATTATTAGTCCCAACCCTGCGAAATTTTTTCATCGTGGTGAGGTTACTACGTTTAGAGGAAAATTTCTTAGAAGAACTCGAAGAATTTCTAGCCATTTTAACAACTTTCTATGAGGCTTTATTTACTGGGATATTGGTATCTAAATCAGTTTCTAGTTCCATTGGCAAGCGTGGTTGTTGTGTAGTTTGCTGAATGCTAGTTTCAGCACTAGGTGACTGTTGCTGTGCACGATCCTTTTTTGGTAAATCTAAGCTAGAGGAGGTGACCAGGTTATTACTACGCATTATTCTGCGCTGACACGGTGTTTTATCCTGAGCTACGGTTATAGACTTATAACTGCTATTCAATCTTAAGTGATCCTGACATTTAGTAAACTTACTAGCATCAAGGGAATTACTGAATTTAAAAATGATTGGGCAATTAGCCTGGTTAGACTTTTTACGAAGTCGTTTGCATTCACATGGAACACTAGCTATGCCGCAACAAATCAGGATTTTGTGTCTTACAGTTTTCAGGGGCAGAGAATCTGGGACGTTGTAAACTATAGCTTGGTGGGAAGAGGTTATACGCTTCATCACCACTGCAGCCAAGCAGTCGGTAAGATTTTCAGCTTTGTTTGGGTTACCTGGAGATATTTTAGGGTGCTTTTTTAACAGACAGGCTATTGGGTCTAAATCCGAAAGCTTGTTTTGAGTTACATCCAGTAATGACTTGACCTGGCCAATATCAGAAAGGCTCTCCGTGGTATTTGAGATTGGCAGTGACATACTATCAGACTGACCTAATCTTTCCTGGAGTTCACTTACTTGCCTCTGGATATCTTTCACAAGGAGGTTTAATTCACAGAACTCAGAGTTCTCTAACAGAAAATCTTTCACCTGTTTCACAGGAGTGAGATCTGCACTCAAATCATTTTGAGAGATAGTAGTTGATACTGTATTACAGGGCGGTAATTCAGTTACAACCGAATTTGAGACACTATCTAAAACAATTGTGTTTCTTTTTATAGATTTGGATCATAATTTCAAGGATTATATGACAACATGCATTAGGTAAATTTCAGAGCAAACACGTGCAAACTTTGTGCAGACCCTGTATATAATAACCTTATTGTTGGTTACATATTGGCGTAAGAACAAAGGATCCTCGAGTCACCAATCTGTGTTCTGGTTTTTCGCGTTGGTTATTACAAATCGTTTCTGAAAGTCTTCGAGGGACAGCGTGAGGTCCAGGGTAGTAAGAGCTGGACACTGACAGTTACCGAGAAATGGCAGACAGTTTTTGATAGTTCCTGTTCGTCTTCATTGCTATGTCTTCCGTAGAAGGGTAAAAAATGGCAAAACAGAAGCGGTTGAATTTCAGCTGTTTAAAGATGGGACATACAAAGTTGAATTGGAAGGTAACAGACAAAGTAAGTAGTGGTTCAACCGATGTGCACCCACTTCTGAGAACAGAAAACGAACCGGGAAATTCAGTTAATCGTAACAGCACCTTTAGACCCCTTGGAAACCAACAAGTTTATTTAGGGGTATTATCAGTTAAGGCGAAATGACCAAAATCTTCAGTAGAGACTTATGCACTGTTGGATAATGGTTCTGTCAATCACGTCTCATAAACCGTCAATGCCCAGCTCTCGCTACGCTCGGGCCCACGCTGTTCTTCGAAGATTTCAGAAACGCTTAGTTATAACGGACGAAAAAACCAAAACACCGATCTGCCGTTTGATATTTCTTTATTGTTACACCAACATATAAAAAGAATAAGCGAACTAAGGTCTGAAAACAAATATTACAATAATAAATCATTGTATTACTTCTGACGATGTTTCACTCTTCTTTCTGAACAGCGACCGATGAGACGATGACTGTCGTATTGATGCCTCCGCGAAAATTGGGGAAGTTGATTTTAAGCAAACAACCAAGAATTGATCGTTCAATCTTCAACTCCATTGACACTCCCCGGCAAAAAAGGGATCCAACCCTTTTTTCCTTCACGACCAATGCACGTTGACTTGGATGCCATTGCGAGAACCTGGGTCACACGGACAGAGCTGAAATGGAAAACAAACAGAAAAGCCAACACACCACAAGCATACCCACAGCACAATCTCACACATCGCTGACGACCTGCGCCTCCAGACAGAGACCTCCTCTTGACATCTTGCAACACAATCGCCACTTGCTAGAATGACTCTTGCAGAATGCAACGTGACCATAGCACAAACTCACGATACTCTACGCACATCCTCTTATCTACTCACTACCAATTACCACTGAAATCGCTTGTCACTCATTCTGCCTCAGTTCTAGTAGCGGTGACGCATGCGAGCCTCAGTCGTTTACACTCTTTCTCCCCGGCGTGTCGGACCGCAGCTAACAATTATCTCCGTGTGCATTTCATTCTCAGCAATAGCCTAGCCTCCACGGCGTATACGACCCATCTGCTGTCCTTAACATCAATCAATTCATTCATGGATGTAGAAGACTCGAAACAACTTCAGAAGTAATCACGACGAAAATTTTAACAAAATTACGCAATAACAACAAGGTACGAAAACAACGAGTAAACACAATGAATCCAAAAACACCAATTGATATGACACACCACACGTATATACAAATAGTACAAACAACCTCGCGGATCATGTCTTGGTGGAATTCCTTTGAAGAATTGCAGGACTTACACCAGTACGCCTACAACCCTTCACAGGTTGACGATTGTAAGTTGTGGAATGTCCGGACACAAACAAGATTAACCAACAATTACATCAATTGGAACTCACACAATTATTTAACACAAACATATGTACAATCAACACATCAAATGTTGTGGATTCTGGGACGGCAAACTACCCTTGAAGAACTGTAGGACTTACAGCAGTACGCCTACATTCCTTCTCAGGTTGATGATCCAAGTGGAAGTCGTCCGGACACAAACAGAATTACCAACAGCTAGATGACAGATGATATCAATTCAGTATATGCAATATGAACATATGTACAAAATCACACACCGAGCACATTGGACTGCTCATTGATGCGCTACCCTTTGAAGAATTGTAGGACTTACAGCAGTACGCCTACAACCCTTCTCAGGTTGACGCTCTAGGTTGGAAAATCGTCGCAGAGTTCATTTGCTAACTTCCTTCTATCAGCTATATCCTCAAATCTGAACGGCAACACGCCCATGTCATTGTATCGTAGAATATAGATGACCAACAAACACACGACATATCTGATCAACCAAGCGTAGAAACAGAGTAATTTACACCAAAGATAATAACATTCAAATAGTAACTTGAAACTAGAAATGCCTTTATTCGTGCAAGTCAATTTAACAATTACTCTCTCGTTTACACTTGGCTTATCCTCACTAAACTGACCATTGATATTCGTCCTTTCAAACGAACTGATACTCTCATAGTCATTGCACAAGATACTTGAGTTGATGGGTGTCTGTTTCATTGTGGATGACAGCACCAACGACGACTGATTGATATCAGTTGATGAACTTAGCAGTGGATCAAAAGCTGTTGTTGCTCGACTTTCAGAAATTTGTCTACCTGCAAGACCACCACCACTGCTGTCTTTTACTATCAGCTCAGGTTTAACAGTAGCATCTGATGATAGGTGGGCTACACTCTGATCAATTACACTGACGGTTTGACAAGTATGCATGCCTTCTGCAACTGCATTTAATTCTACTTCACG